GCGGGCAGCTGCAGGGAAGCAGATGCTGGCCGCACCCCGCCTATCTGACCCCGGGCACAACAGGCATCCCGACTCTACTCACCCGCAGAAAGACAGATGGACGACCTCCCTGGATGCTCCTTCCCCGTCCTCCCTGACAATCATAATCTGGAGGGAAAGAAACCCAAACTGAGGTCTCATCCTGGGGCCACAACTGCATTCCACAACCCGGAACTTCGGGCTGGCTCCTCCCAATGAGTGATGATAAAAGTGTGAGCACCTGGGACAGGAAAGCCAGGTGTTCCTGCAAAAGCCACAAACTCAGTCATCAGATAAGGCCGCAGAATGCATTCTCAGAGCGTGAAACTCAGGCGGCATTTCACCAGGAGGCCTGTGCCCACTTGGTGTCCTCTCTTGACCCCCCATACTGTATGGCCCATGCCCCTTTTGTGCCCTCCATGTCATAGCCTGTGGCCACCAGGGCCCTTCTGCCAGGACCTCTGGACCCCCACAGTCTAGAGGGGCATCTGATACTTGGATGGACTGACATCTGGACCCCTTTCTCCCTGGATTGTGGCCTGGGGCCTGGATTCATCCAGCAGGAGCCCTGTGCTGAACCTCTGGGGTCAGGGTGGGGACACTTAGGTACTGGCTGCTCAGAGACCTGAAGACGGCCCTGGTGGGCCTCCGCCTGGCTCCCCGACCCTTGGCCTCGTGGCTCCCAGCTGGTTCCATGCCTGAAGCTCTAGCTGTGCCATCTGTGAACCGCCTGGCCCCTCCCAGGCCCCTCATCAGCTCACAGTGCCCCAGACTGGTTTCAGTCCTCATGGCACAGAGCTCCGAGCAGTCTGTCCAGCTGGCATGCAACACCCACCATTCACCACCCATGAGGTGACCTGCAGGGGGCATGACCACCACCCTTTATATAGTCCAGCTTCTCCAGTCCTTAGAGCTCAGACCCACATCACGTTCCCTTCCTCTCTCTCAGCCTGAAACAACTCGCAGCCTCCTCTGTGCTGCTCTTGTCCCTGACGACACTGGAATCTACTGCTATAAAACAAATTTCCCCAAACCCTAACAGCTTAAAACAACAAACATTTTATTATTTCACAGCTCCTGTGGGTCAAGAATTTGAGAGCAGTTTAGGAGTGGTTCTGGCTCAGAGTCTCTCATGAGGTTGTAGTCAGGCTGTTGGCTGAGGCTCTGGTCACCCGAAGGCTGGACTGACAGAGATGCTGCTTCCAAGGAGGCCCCCTCACATGGCCCGTGGCACGAGGCCTCAGGTCCTCCCCACGTGGACTCTCCCCAGGGCTGCGTGGGTGTCCTCCCCATGTGGTGGCTGCTCCCCCAGGGTGAACCAGTGGAGAGCGAGAGCCAGGAGGAGGCCTCAACACCATTTAAGACTATCTTGGGGGGCACCTGGGTGGCTCAGTCGGTTGAGTGTCGGACTCTTAATTTCGGCTTGGATCATGATACCAGGGTCATGGGATGGCGCCCCACATTGGGCTCCATGCTGATCGCAGAGCCTGGTTAAGATTCTCTCTCCCTCTGCCCCTCTCCCCTACTCACTTGCTCGCTCGCTCTTTTTCTCTCTAAAAAAAAAAAAAAGAAAAATAGGGGCACCTGGGTGACTCAGTCGGTTAAGTGTCTAACTTCGGCTCAGGTGATGATCTCGCAGCTCACAAGTTCGAGCCCCACATCAGGCTCTGCACTGACAGCTCAGAGCCTGGAGCCTGCTTCGGGTTCTGTGTCTTCCTCTCTCTCTGCCCCTCCCCTGCTCGTTCTCTCTCTCTCACTCGAAAATAAAAACACTTTAAAAATTAAAAAATTTAAATAAATAAAAATAATTTTTTTTAATTTTTTTTAAAATGTTTTATTTATTTCTAGGAGAGAGAGAGAGAGAGAGAGACAGCGTGAGCGGGGGAGGGTCAGAGAGAGAGGGAGTCACAGACTCTGAAACAGGCTCCAGGCTCAGAGCTGGCAGTCAGCACAGAGCCCGACGCGGGGCTCAAACCCACGAACCGCGAGATCATGACCTGAGCGAAAGTCGGACGCTTAACCGACTAAGCCACCCGGGCGCCCCAATAAAAATAAATTTTAAAAGACTATCTTGGAAGCCATTTGCCACATTCTATTCATTAGAAATAAGTCACTAAGCCCAGCCCACACCTGGCTGTGGACAATTTTAAACCACCACTGACACCCACATCTCTCCCTGGAAGATTCTGGAACCTGTTTCCTCACTGCAGTGGGACACCTCTGCCAGCAGCAGCCCTAATTACTGCCTCCGCAGTGGCCCTACGCTGCAAGCGTCTTGAGAGGAGCTGAGACTCTCAACGCCCGTCCAAGCCCCCGTAGGTGAGAGCAGGTGTGAGGTGCAAATGAGGGAGTGAACAGGGCACAGCAGCAACAGAGAGCAGGGGATGCGCCCCCGACAAGTGGTGGCAACACAAGGGGAAGGGAGGCGCTGGAATAAGAGACTCTGTCCCTTCACCCGCCCCCCCTTAGCCCCAGGCGGCAGGGACCAAGCCAGATCGGAATCAGCCAGGCAGCCCACAGTTCCCCACCCCCTCCCACATCCGGTGGGAGGGAGGGTCCTCGCGCAAAGCCCCAAGGACGGGGGGGGGGGGGGGGTGTGCAGCCAAGATGAGGGGACGGGTGAATCCTCAGCAAGATTAGACCCAAGCGAGTTGCTGGACCCCCAGGGAAATGCCGACAGCCCGGCAGCCCCCCAGCGCTGGTGGTCTCCACAGCCTCCACTGTGACTTCGTGAGGTAGCGTGTCCCCAGCCCCCGGGAGAACCGGCGCTGCCCTCCGTTCTCCGAATCTCCCGGCAGGAGCTCCGCGGTCACAGCGCCCCTGGCGGGCAAAGCCCGGAGCTGCAGGCGAAGCCTCGGCCCCCTGGCCTTGCGACCCCCAGCCGCCGCCGGGTCAGCAAGCTGGGCCTTCCCCCGCGAACCCGCAAGGAAGGGTTAGCCGCCCCTTTTGCAGAGGTGAGGCAACCGAGTGTCGGAGAAGCCGAGAGACTTGACCCAGCCCAGGGTCTGGTAGGAGCAGAGGCGAGGGCGGGGACGTGACGCGGGTGGAGGCGGGTCGTCGGGCGGGGGCGGGAGAGCGTGGGTGGTGACCCCACGTCCGCGGTCCTGCGGGCTACCTCGCAGGCCCCTCCCCTGCGTGGCGCGGCGCCTGTGACCTCTCGCCGCCCGCCCCGGCGGGTGCTCGCTGCGGGGTCGGCCTTGCGCGCAGCCCCGTCCCGGACCCACGCTTGAGCTCCTGGGCCACCAGAACCGCACGCTGTCCTGGACGTTCCTCAGCCATCTGCCGCAGTGCGGCCCGTCACTCCCAGACTTTTCCTTGATGCCTACTTTTTGTTTTAACGGTAAAGTGCCCCCCATGAAAACTTGCATGAAACCGCGCCTGGGCGCATCTGCCTGTGCCGGACACTGCAGCCGCAGCTCCCTCGCTGCCCCTCCGAGGCCCCCTTTCTGGGAGGGTCATCCGCCAGAAGAGGCAACCTGGGCAGAACTGGGTCCCCACGGCAGCCAGGACTACCAAGGGCTAGCAAGGGAGGCTGTTCTTTTCATTTTCCATCAAAACCCCCCTTGGATCTACTCAAGAAAGGCGGGAAAAGCAGAGGCAGGCGGGGGGAGGGTCGGGTCTGCTGAGACCAAATGGAGTGAAAAGAACCTGTGACCCAGGTGGGAAGAGCACCCCACACACACTGGATCCACAGGGAACCTCTAGCGGCCAGGGCAGTAGTCAGTTGTTCAGGGAGAAGACAAGGTAAGAGACCGCCGGGGCGTCGTGAGCTCTCACCTCCCTTCTCAAAGTCACTGTCTCCAGAGCCCAGCCAGGTGAGGGGCACAGAGGAGGTGGAAGGACTCATCGCCCCAAACGCCCCACTCCACGGGGGATCAAAAACACCTGCTCCGTGGGCCTGGGTTTATTATGGCCTCCACGACGCCTGGAGGCACCATCAGGGTTGGTTACATGTAGGGGAAATCATGCTTGTCACATGCATACATACATGAAGATACACGTTACACCAGCCCAGATTCACAAATCTTGCAGCCTTGGCATGACAGTGCCCCAGCAGAGGCAGCCCCCATCTCCAGAACCCCCCACTGCAGCCAGCACAGCTCCACACACACCCCAAGGAGCAACCCCACAGGGCCGGGGCTTTCGGAGGCAGGAGAAGCCCACCCAAAGTCGGTGCTCCCTGTTCTTTGCAGGTGCTTGAGGTCACCTGGCTGAGGGCTGCAGCTCAGCTCACAGGTGGAGGCAGAATAGTCGTTCCAGTGCTGGGGGTATTTCAATAGTTTCTCTGCAGGAAGAGTGTTTGCAAAGTCACCGAACTGCAGCTTCCATCTGCAGGCCAGGGCAGGTGCTTCTCTGGTGACAACAGCAGGGAGACACCCTCCCCTCCAGTGTCCCCACAGCCAGACAGTCCCCGCACTTGGCTCAAGCAGGCCCTGTCGAGCCCCACCCCTTATACCAGCTCGGAATGTGAAGCCATACGATACAGTACGGCCCCGCACCACGTGAGACAAGTCCTGGCAGCAGGAAGCTCAGGCCTGCCCCACAGACACCTAGAGGCTTGTAAATGAAGCAGGGGTCCGTCGCTTGGTGGGGGGAGGGGCTGAGAAGAACCCATCCCCACTGCCTCTCCTCCTCCAAGGCCACCAGGATCCAAACATGGCACAGGGTCCTGCCAGCTGCATAGCTGCTGACCTCTGATTTCAAGAGAGCCAGGGAGGACACACAGCCCTCCGGCCAGAGCGTGTCAGAGCCCTCTCCACCGAGCAGCCAAGAGCAGGGACACAGGGCTGGGTGGTTCAGTTAGTTGAGCCACTAACTCTTGATTCAGCTTGGGTCATGGTCCTGGGGTGGTGGGATTGAGCCCAATGTCGGGCTCTGCACCGAGCCTGAATTGGGATTCTCTCTTTCTCCCCCTCTGCCCCTCTCCCCCACTTGTGTTCTCTCTCTCTCTAAAGAGAAAAAAAATTTTTTCTAAAGAAGACATTTTTAAAAAGACAGAGTGGCCTGAGGTGATCAAGCAGCCCACCAACCTTCCGAGCCACCTCTGCACACCCGGACAGCCACATCTGAGGCTCATAGTTCTTTGCACTTCTGGAGGGAAAAGCCTCTCTGAGAAGCCTCTCAGAGGCAGGGTGGGGGATGAGAAGGGGTGCAGATGAGGCACAGGCAAGTTCATATCAGCAGCTCCAAGCCCCACTGCCCACAGATGGCTGCCAGCCCTCGGGGCGGGTCCAGGCCCGTCCTGCTGCCCCAGGGAGATGCTGCAGGGCTCCACACAGACAGCACGCAGCACAGGGGGCAAAGGATGCGCATGCTGCTCTTTCGCCTCCAGGTGTGTGCGTACCAAGAGCGCACAGGGCACAGCAGGGGAGAGGCCAGAAGAGTCCCACGAAGCACAGGAAAATTGGCGTGGGCTCTGGTCACACGCGCTCACTGGTGGGTCCCTGTGTCCCCTCTCCACCCTGCACCAGGAAGGCAGCTTTAGTCTGACCTGTCCCATGATGCCACTGTGCCCTCTGAAGCCGCAGTGAAGCCTGTGAGTCTGGCAATGCTCAGGGCTCAGGTTGGTGTCAGCCTAGAGAGCAGTGACCTGGGTGAGCTCCGTATTGGGCGTTGACGGGCTCTGTGGGCTGACAGGCACCATGGGCAGGTCCACGCCTAGTCATGCAGGCCGAGGTACTGTCTCCGAGGTCTTGCAGGCAAGGGCGACATCCTTGGCAATGCTGCGCACACGGTCAGACACCTGCATCTCCCGGCGCAGGGCAGGAGCACAGCAGAACTTTCGGAAGCAGGCCTTGAAATTCTCGTCCAAGAAAGCATAGAGGATGGGGTTAAGGCAGCTGTTGACGTAGCCAAGGGCTGTGCAGAAGCGCAGAATAGCCACCGCGGTCTCACTGCCCGGCTGGACACCCAGCCCTTGGACCAACACGAAGACCTGGACAGGCGTCCAGCAGCCCACGAACACCGCCACCACCACCAGCACCAGCCGCGTGATGCGCCTCAGGTTCCGGTCCTTCTCCCGGGAACCGGACAGCAGGCGCACGCCACGCAGCCGCCGGATCATGAGGCTGTAGCAGATGGAGATGATGAGCACGGGAATGATGAAGGAGAAGAGGAAGATGCAAATGGCAAACACGGGGCCCCAGTAGTGCTGTGGGGTGGGGATCTCCACCAGACACTCAATCTCTGCAGGGAGAAAAGCAGGGTCAGGGTGGGCAAACCAGGAAGGGCTCTCTGGGAGCCCGTAGACACCAGCACTGGGGAGGGGTGCCACCCCACTGACCTTCGTCCTCGACCTGTGCCGAGCCCATGATGGCAACAGGAACACCGACAACAGACGCCAAAGCCCAGATGGCCACGTTGACAGCCTGGGCCTTGCTGGACGTCCGGACGTCAAGAGCGCGGATGGGGTGGCAGATGGCTACGTAGCGGTCCACGCTCATGGCGGTCAGTGTGAAGGTGCTGGTAAACATGTTGTAGTAGTCGATGGCAATGACTGTCTTGCACAGGGCATTTCCAAATGGCCAGAAGCCCAGGAGGACATCTGTGCCCTGGAAGGGCAGTGTCAGCAGCACCAAAGTGTCCGCCAGGGCCAGGTTAAAGATGTAGATGTTGGTGGCTGTCTTCATCTTGGTGTGTCTGCAGGGAGCACAGGGGAAAGGAAGACCCTGCCCGGCCACTCTGGCCGGGCCCAGCAGCAGAGGCCCAGGGGCCTCTCTTGTTGCCACTACCAGGAGCACCCGCCCTGAGACCCCTGTTAGAATGCAGGCTCCCAGGCCCAGTGCAAGGTACTCAGGCCACAGACTGTGCTTCTGGCACACACAAAGGGCTCCAAACCCAAAGACTGGTCTTTGGGGAAGTTGGGTGTGTCGGGTAGCAGAGCACACCTGTGACTCCACAGGGGAGCAAAGGGGTAAGAATCTTAAGAAAAAGAAAAAGAACCAGTCCTCCTCCCTTCCTTTCAAGTCTTCCTGAAGACACTTCACGGACTACAGTGTCGGCCCTAGGCACACAGAGGTTCCTAAGGGCTCCTCTGTCTCAGCACGTCCTCAGTAAAGCACATCAAAGGCCTTCCCAGTGCATGTTGTGGTCGAGCCATAGAGACAGGAAGTGGTGACAGGAACGGGAGTGTGCTAACAAGATCTGGCTGTAGCCAAGGAACAGGTCTGGGGACATTATAGCTATTTAATAAATATCTGTTGAGTGGGGCGCCTGGGGGGCTCGGTCAGTTGAGTGTCTGACTTTGGCACAGGTCACTCTCATCGTTCATGAATTTGAGCTCCACGTCAGGCTCACTGCTGTCAGCACAGAGCCTGTTTGGGACCCTCTGTCCCCCACTCTCTGTCCCTCCCCCATTCATTCTCTCTTTCTCTCTCTCTCTTAAAAATAAATAGACATTTTTAAAAATAATAAATAGGGGTGCCTGGGTGGCTCAGTTGTTTAAGCGTGCAACTCTTGGTTTCGGCTCAGGTCACGATCTCATGGCTTCATGGGTTTGAGCCCCACATCAAGCTCTGCGCTGACAGTGCAGAGATTGCTTGAGATTCTCTCTCTCCTCTCTCTTTGCCCCTCCCCCACTTGCACTGTCTCTGTCCCTCTCAAAATAAGTAAACTTGTTTAAAATATTAAAATAAATAAATATTTGTTGAATGAATTAATATGATGGCAATGGAGGTGGTAATTGTAGTGATGATGGTGGAGATAATTATAGTGGTAGTGGTAGAGGTGGTAATAATGGTGATGGTGGTGGAGGTGGTGGTAATTATGGTGGTAGTGGTGGTGCTGGTAATTGTGGTGGTGATGGTGGAGGTGGTGGTGGTCATTGTGGTTGTAGTGGTGGTCATTGTGGTGGTTGTGGTGGTGGTGGTGGTATTAATTTGGGGGGTGGCGGTGGTAATTATAGTTGTAGTGGTGGTGGTGGCCGTAATTGTGGTAATGATATCGTGGTGGTGGTGGTGGTAGTGGTGGTAGTAATTATGGCTGTGGTGGTGCTGGTTGTGGTAACCGTGGTGGTGGTGGTGCTGATTATGGTGGTGGTGGTTGAGGTGGTGGTGGAGGTGATAGCTATGGTGATGGCAGAGGAGGTGACAATTGTGGTTGTGGTGGTGCTGGAGGTGGTTGTTGTGGCGGTGGTGGAGGTGGTCCTTGTGGTGGTGCTGGAGGTGGTCGTTGTGGTGGTGCTGGAGGTGGTCGTTGTGGTGGTGGTGGAGATGGTCCTTGTGGTGGTGCTGGAGGTGGTCCTTGTGGTGACGGAAGCAGCAGTGATGGTCGTGGTGACGATGGAGGTAGTAGAGGTGGTGGTGGTGACAGTGTTAGATGTCCCTGTCATCAGGAACACCAGTGTCCCCTTAACTTAAACTGCCATAGGGAATCTGGGGTTCAGTTCTGCCACTCAGAGCAGGATTAGAAATAAGCACAAACAGGCCTTAATTATGACCAAATAACACCAATAGTGACCACAATAGCAGACACTTTTGCCAAGCTCTCACGTGGATTTTATCTCATTTAAATTTCAAAAATGCTATTTTGATCCCCACTGTATACAGGAGGACCCTTAGGCTCAGCGGATCCAAGTGGCCTTGAAAAGAGCTGGTAAAAAAAACAGAGAGGATCAAGAGAACTAGAGGATGAGCCACAGACAGGAGGAAAGACGTGCCCGAGACACGCGTGATACAGGACTGCTGTCCAGAATACACAAGAAGTCTTAAAACTCAACAATGAGAAAACAAAGACTTTAAAAGACACCCCGCCAGTGAAAACAAGAATGATACTACTACACACCTCTTAGAACAAGCAAAATCTAGAACACTGACCCCAAATGCTGGTGAGGGGGTGGGGCAGTGGGAGCTCCCACTCGTTGCTGGCAGGAATGCAAAATGGTGCAGCCACTTTGGAACACAGTTCGGTGGTTTCTTACAAAACTAAACATACTCTTACCATAGGATCCAGCAATCACACGCCTCGATGTTTACCCAAAGTTGTTGAAAACTTGTATCTGCATAAAAACCTGCACACAGATGTTTATAGCTGTTATATAGTTTTATTCACAATTGTCAAAACTTGGAAGCAACCAAGATGTCCTTCAGTAGGTGATGGATTAGTAAACTGTGGTAGATCCAGAAAATGGAATATTATTTAGTGATAAAAAGACATGAGCTATTAAGACACGAAAAGTCCTAGGGGCACCTGGGTGGCTCAGTTGGTTGAGCGTCGGACTTCAGCTCAGGTCACGATCTCACGGTTTGTGAGTCCAAGCCCCGCGGCGGTCTCTGTGCTGACAGCTCAGAGCCTGGAGCCTGCTTCAGATCGTGTCTCCTTCCCTCTCTGCCCCTCCTCTGCTCACCCTCTGTCTCTCTCTGTCTCTCAAAAATGAATAAATATAAAAAAAAGTTTTAAGACATGAAAAGACCTAGAAGAACATTGAGTGCATATTACTCAGTGAAAGAAGGCCAGTATGAGAAGCCACACACTGTATGATTCCAACTACATACCACTCTAGAAAAGGCAAAACCATGGAGACAATAAAAATATCAGTGGTTTCCGGGGGTTGGGGGGAGTAAGGTGAGGAGGGATGAACGGGCAGAGCACAGAAGATTTTTAGGGCGGTGAAACTATTCTGTGTAATGTTACAATGGTAGGTAAATGTCAAAACCCATAGGATATACAATACTAAGAGTTAACCATAATGTAAACTATGGACTTTGGGTGATTATGATGTGTTAACATAGGTTCAATTGTAAAACTGACTTGTAACTAAGCATAAATGTACTACTCTGGTGGAGATGTAGATTACAGGGGAGACTATGCATGTTGGGGGGCAGAGGTATATGGGCAATCACTGTACCTTCCTCTGAATCTTGCTGTGAACCTAAAGCTGCTCTAAAAAATAAAGTAGCTTAAAAAGAGCAGGACTTGGGGCACCTGGGTGGCTCAGTTGAGTGTCTGACTCAGGCTCAGGTCATGATCTCGAGGTTCATGAGTTTGAGCCCTGCATCGGGCTCTGTGCTGACAGCTCAGAGCCTGGAGCCTGCTTCAGGTTCTGTGTCTCCCTCTCTCTCTGCCCCTCCCCCTCCCATGTTCTGTCTCTCAAAAATTAAAAACGTTAAAAAAATGTGTTTTTTTTTTTTCTAAAGAGCAGGACTTGGAGCCGGGCGTCCCTGACTCCAGAGGCAGTGCACCCCAGTCCATCAGCTCAGAATACACTGTGCTAATCCTCAGGCCAGTCCCCACACATCAGTCTCTCTGGGAACTGCTATGGGCAAGACAAGCTTCCCTGCCTGCTCTAATCAGGATGTGGCTCTGAGAGTTCTGTCGCCTCAGTGCAGAAGAGCAATCCAGAGAAGTGACGACAGGAAGGGTGATTAAGACCACCCCAGGGTGCCTCAGCGGCTCAGTCAGCGAAGCATCCAAATTCAGCTCAGGTCATGATCTCACAGTTTGTGAGTTCTAGCCCCGTGTCAGTTTTGCTCTCCCTCTCAAAATAAACGAAACAAAACAAAACAAAACAAACAAACAAAAAGACCACCCCTGGTTGCTGCGCTTCTCACCCACAACACACTCTCCAGCCACAAAGGCCACTTCTGTGAGTCCAGTGCCCTGGGGCTCAGCACTGGGCACAGCCGGCTGCCCCTCCCAGCGCCTGTGTGGGCATGTGACAACCATACATGCACACACTCGTGGGTGTACGTACACACTCGTGCGTGCATGTACACACTTGTGCATTCATATGTACATGTACACACGTGTGTATATGCCATACATGCATATGCAGCTTTAAAGTACACATGCACGCATGCATACGTGTACACACAGCACACTGACTCATGTGCACACACTCTTACACATACATGTACACCGGCACACACACGTGTATGCGCTCACACTTGTGTGCACTCCTACATGCGTGCATTTGCACTTTTGTGTGCGCGCATGTCTGTACATGCTTGGGCATGTGTGTATACACATGAACACACACAGACACATGCACGTCCTCACACTGTCCCCCCCACACCGTCCCCACATGGTCCCCCTACAATGGACCCCTCCTGCACACCCACCCAACCCTCTTGACTACGTGGGCTTTCCCACTCTAAGCACAAACAGATGCTGGAGTCAGCCCAGACAGCAGCAGTGAACATGACGCTGAGAGCTGAAGGCAAGGGGCTTCGGGCACCTGCCTCAGCCCAAGCCCTGAAACAGGCTGGCGAGAGCTGCCTCCCAGATCCAGGAGAGCCTCACACCATGGCTTGGCCAGAAGCCTGGCCCGCAGCTCAGATCCGGGAGTGTTACCTGACAGGAGTCAGGGTGACGATCTGTCTGGGGCCCGGCTGCACCCTCTGTCCACCATCAGGCCTGAGGTGAGCAGGGCTGATCCTTGCCTCTCCCTTTCCCCCTAGTCCGGTGCCCCAACCCTGAGGACTTGGAGCATCCAGGACCTCAGGACTGACCCTGACCCTGACCCTGCCTGACAGGATGACCAGAAATTGAATGGGAAAAGTGAGGAATCTCTACCTGCCGAATCTCAAAAAAAAACAACAACAACAACAAAAACAAACAAATAAACAAACAAAAAACAGCTCCCTGCCTCAGTTTCCCCTCTGCAGTGCTGTGGGACCCACCAGTAGGGGGCCTTGGCAGGTGCCCAGCCTACCTGAGGATGACATACATGACGAGGCAGTTCCCCAGCAGTCCCCCAATGCAGACAGCCAGGTAAAGCCCCACGATGGTGACCTTGAGCCCAAGGGGCAGGAAAGCGCCATGGCTGGCATTGAGCAGCAGGTTGGGAGGCAGCAGACTGTGGTTGGGGCTCAGGAGGGACAGGTTGCCCTGCAGGTGGCTGCCGTAGAGGACCTCCCAGAATGGGGCTGGGAAGAGGGACTCCATGCCACCTCCCTGCGTGCAAAGCCACTTGGTACCTAGGAGAAGACAGGGACACATGACCACAGCACCCAGCACCTACCCAGCTGAGGCCTCTGAGCACAGTGTGTGCAGCCCAGAAGGCACGTGGCCCCCCCCACATACACTCACACACAGGCAGCCACAGACGCAGAGCCATACATCCACACAAACAATGGAGACAAGCAGACATGTGTGCACAGACAGGAACACACAGAGAGGCATGTGAGTCTCCTTTGACTTGCAGACTCCCACATGGGGTGTGTGGATGTAGTTACACACCGGGACACGTGTCCACCCACAGGGACTCACGGACAGACACACAGCCACCCGTGTGCACACATCACACACAGAGATGTCCAAACCTGACCTCATGCACACACAAGAGGGTCGGAGACATACCCAGAAACACCTGGAACACACGACCCAGGCCGACTGAGCACACGGCTTCCTCCCACCCCTCCCCAGTCCTGCCTGAGAGCTGCAGTCTGTCCACACCCGACCCCCTGTGGCTTAGGCCTTACCTTAGCAGCCTCCGGGGGAGCCAAGCCTGTGGGGATGCGTTGGCAGAGCAGGGCTAGGATCCCAGGCCCCTCGGCGCCAGATCCGGACAGGGCTGCGGCAGCGGCAGCGGCTCCTCTCTGTAGCTGCCAGACCAGACGCAGCAGCCTAGCGCGGAGCTGGGGGATGGGGAGGAGACTGCTGCTCCTGAGAGGGAGGGGCCACGCAGGCTGGAGGAGGGGGCCGCAGGGAAGGGATGGGGACAGACTGAAGGACCAGGGCACACACTTAGAGATGAACGACGGAGACGGGCTCCGACACGTGGGCACAGAGACACAGATGCACTCGGGAACTGAGTCAGGGCACAGACATACACACAAGGACGCACAGGGACTTGGGCACAGGCACTAATGGCAGACACATACACAAGGACACACAAAGACATGGAACAGAGACAGAACCGACACATGGGATGGAGACTCAGGTAGATGCATGCATAGACCGGGACAGACATGGGGGCTTGTCTCACACTCAGAGACATAGCCTTGGATGGGCACAGACCAGCCTTGGTTGGCACTCTGTGCCCAGGACAGCACCCTCAGCTGGGCTCCAGCAGGCCGATACGTGGGTGGGTGGATACACAGCAGTGCCCCTGCCCAGCCAGCCCCAAGTGGATCAAGAGCCTTGTAGACACACGGATGCCTAGACTCTACTGTGCACCCTGTGTGCCTGCTGTGTGCCCCGCAGGTCCATCACGAACATGAGCTCATCTATCCCCATCACACTGGCTCCTTGCCATCAGCATCACCTTCGTGCAGACAGGAGCATTAAGCCTCAGAGGTGTGAAGCCAGCTGTCAAAGTGGCAGAGACAGGGTTCAAACCCAGATCCATCTGCTGCTTTAAGACACACCAAGGGCATCTCTGCCACAGCAGGGCCCCAGGGCAACATCCGAGCATCAGTCCATCACAGTCTGGGCCCCCAGCACCCATGCAGCTGAAGGGCTCCAGTGGGGCTGCCTCCTTCCCAGCACTGAGGTCACATGCCATGTGGGAGACCCCTCAGCTCAGCTACCAGCCTTGCAATCATGGGGCCATTCTTCCCGCACAGGCTCTGCTCACATAGCCCAGACCCTGCTTGGAGCATCCGTCTCCAAGGATGGGGACCTGGTTGCTAGGCGACTGGCAGCAGCGTCGCTAGGATACCCAGCAAATCAGGAGAGGACAGAGCAGGCAGATGCCCCAGGACTCGGCATCCCAAGCTGTCCCCCAGGACTTATCTCTGCATCTTCACTGCAGCTGACTCAGGGACACGTGTGGAGACAGGGGGCACATCCACAGAGACACTCAGGACACACAGGGACACACAGGCTCACGTGCCTGCAAACACAGAGACACCCGAACAGGCACACAAGTGAACACACAAACACAGGTTCATGCTTCGAAATGCACAGACACCGGGAGGCATAAACACACAGGCCGCACACATGTGAACCACACCAACGTGCTATCAAGGCACATGAGTAGCCAGGACAGAGCATGCAGCCACACAGATCAAGGCTTTCAGACACCCAGCGGACACACACGTGCACCACACTCTCCAGGTGAAGCCTGAAGGATGACCCTGCAGACCTCAGGAGCCCCGCCGGGGCAGGAACTCAAAGAGGCTGCGCTCGGCTGCCTGCAGCCTCCCCCAGCCGGGCTCGCTGAGGTCTGAGCAGCCAATCCCAACCCCTCCTGCCCCAGCTGCCCGTGTGCACCTGCCTGCTCGCCGGCCCACAGAGCTCATTTCATAACGACTTTCAGCTGCCCCCCCAGCTGAGCCTAGGGGAAGAGAGGACTGTGACGCTACTCTGGAAAGGTATCCCATGAGAGTACACCCATTGGACCCGGCACGAAGGACAGCTGGAAGCAGATACCTGGCCCCTCACAGGCATAGTCTCAGCCGAAGGACAGGCTTGGTCACCTGGCCCGTGGGGGGTCAGGCTGGAATGCTGACTATACTCTCGGGGGTGACAGCGGCCCAGCCCTGGACCCTAAAAGGCTCCCACAAAGGGAGCTGGGAGCACCGAGGAAATGGCCCCTGCGCAGGCAGAGTAAGACACAGAGACACATATGTCACACGTGGGACAGCAGGGGACATGTTATGTGAGAGAGCACTGGTGTCAAAGCAAAGCAGGATGGCCCCAAACTCACGTCGTATGCAGGCGAGACAAAACACACGGGGACAGCAGGGGCAGCCCGAGGCACACAGCTTACACAAATGACAGCACAGAATGCACGTCCACAAATCGTGGTCACAGCTGCCTGGGCTGCACTCAGGAGTCACGGGCATTTGTGGCAGGACCTGGTTCCAGAGAGATTTCCACCACAAAGCGGGGCAAGTGCACCTCACTCTTGCCCGGTGAGTCAGAGCCCAGACACGCCAGCACTCATGGCCTCGGGCAGGCATGCTGTCGGCTTCCCTCCAACCCACGTGCTTCGCTGCCCCTGGGCTCGGCACAGGAAGCCAAGCGTCGTCACCAGAAGCCTAACACGGAACAGCTGCCCCGGGGGGGGGGGGGGGGGGGGCGTTCAGTCCCCAGGTCATCTGTGCTCTTAAACAGCAAAAGACGGGCACCTGGGTGGCTCAGTTGGCTCAGTATCAGGCTTTGGTTCAGATCATGATCTCATGATTTGTGAGTTCAAGCCCCATGCAGGGCTCACTGCTGTCAGCACAGAGCCTGCTTCAGCTCTTCTGTCTCTCTCTTTCTGTCCCTTCCCCATTTATACTCTCTCTCAAAAATAAATAAATCTTTAAAATTTTTTAAATTAAAAGTGAAAGGACTTTTTCTTAAAAGTGAAAGGATGGGGCACCTGGGTGGCTCAGTCGGTTAAGCGTCCGACTCCAGCTCAGGTCATGTTCTCACGGTTCTTGGGTTTGAGCCCCACATCAGGCTCTGGGCTGACAGCTCAGAGCCTGGAGCCTGCTTCAGATTCTGTGTCTCCCTCTCTCTCTGACCCTCCCCTGCTCTCACTGTCTCTATCTCTCTCTCAAAAATAAATTAAACATTTAAAAAAGTGAAAGAACTTTTTCTTTTAAGTTTATTTATTTTGAGAAAGTGCATACACAAGCAGGGAAGGGCAGAGAGAGGAGAATCTCAAACAGGCTCCACGCTCAGTGGGGTCATCAGAGATCATGACCTGACCTGAAATCAAGAGTCCGATGCTTAATTGATTGAGCCACCCAGTGAGCCACCCAGATGCCCACAAGGGCTTTTTATTAAGTTTATTCATCCTTTTTTTTTTTTTTTTTGAGAAAGAGCGTGCACATGCACACAAGCACAAGCAAGGGAGGAGCAGATAGAGAGAGAGAGAGAGAGAGAGAGAGAGGATCCCAAGCAGGCTTCACGCTGATAGCACAGGACTTGAACCCTCAAACTGTGAGATCATGACCTGAGCCAAGACCAAGAGTGGGACGCTTAACCAACTGAGTCACCAGGTGCCCCTAAAAAAAAAGTGAAAGGATTTTATCAACTGTGAGTTTCATCATAATAAATTATTTTGTGTGATTTTAACTTTATAATATTTATATATGGCAACAAAAGAACTGAGTTGTATATTTTCAATATAATATTAAATTTTGTAGTCATTTAATAAACTTTTAAATTTTATTTTGGAGTTTTATTTTCAGCATTTGGTACCAATCAAAATGCTTTTAGATCTCAGTATTTCCATCAGCCTTTGAAAAACACATGAATCCTGGACACAGAAATAGATGGAAGACACCTGCCTGGTTGCAGGGCCCCAGACACCCGGGGAGCACCACCTCCATCCCCCTCCCCTGTTCCCAGGGAACCACAGGGTGTGTGGAGAAGCCAGAAGAAGCTTCTTTCAGGAATGCGAGCTGTGTGGGCACCAAGCCCTCCGAGGATTGAGGAGGAGGGGTATCAAAGTTCTTCAATCCTACAAAAAAAAAAAAAAAAGAGAGGGAAATTTACAAGCCCCTTCTTGCATTAGAGCAGCCCCCACTCTCCCTATAAACCGCATTCCATTGCCAGAAGCCAGCAAGCAGCTCCCCTTCTGTTGAGTGCTCCTGGCCCAGACCTGGGAAGCTGCGAGGAGGGCCCAGATCCTCTGTCTCACAGAACTCACCAGGGTGGGAGCACAGAGTTGAACCAGAGGCAGCCCCTGTCAAGAGTCTGGCCTGCTACGTCAGACTCCCTGAGCCGTTACTGCTTCTGGATCCCAGAGGCCTGTGTCTTCAACAAGCCCCAAGGCTGGTGCTGAATCCCAAGACCCAGACCACACCCCAAAGGCACATGCCTGGCAGGAAGGGGCAGCACCCTGGGAACAGCCTGTGCAAAGCCCCGGGGGCCTGAAGGATGGAAGGTAGGTCCCTGGAGCCTGGTGCAGGCTCTGATATAAAGGGGCACAAAGTCATAGTTTACCCTTTCACCAGGAAGCCAGAGGAAGCTTCCAAAAACAAAGTGGACAGTCAAGAACCTCCTGCACAAAGGCCAGAACCTCAGCTGAGACCCCACCCCAAAGACAGGACAGTTCCTGCCTCAGGGGCGCAGGTCCTGAACTCCCAAAAAGGGCATCATTGTCCTTGGCACATGTCCATGAATGAAGGGGAGACGTCTGCACGCACCATAACGGATTGTGGACTTAATGCAACAATTTTAGCCTAACGTAAACTGTAGCCCCAGCACATGAATTAATGAATTCTAACGTGTTGGGTTTTTTTTTAATGTTTGTATTTATTTTTTGAGAGAGAGAGAGAGAGAGACAGAGCAAGCAGGGACACGGGATCCAAAGTGGGCTCTGTGCTGACAGCAGACAGCCTCATGCAGGGGTCAAACTCACCAACCATGAGCTAAGTCAGATGCTTAACCAACTGAGTCACCCAGGGGCCCCTGAATTAATGAATTCTAGAATAAACTGATGAGTGGACGAATGAATTATAGAATTTAAAAACTGAGAAATGAATTAGTTATGAAATATTATGACACTAACAAATACATTACAGAAATATAGGATTCAAGACCCAGAAATTTAGGGTTCAGGAAAACCTGGCTCCGGTCCTGCGGGACCCCTGAGACTCCAAACTTGCTCTGGAAGAGGGTAGGTGTCCTCCTGAGCTGCGCCCCAGTTTCCCTTCCCTGTGAACAAAGCGGCGGTGGGAGCCCTTTGGGGTCCTGCAGGAGAGAACGGGTATCAGACAGGAAGGTCTCATTACTATGCCTTCTGCCCCCAAAACCAGCCCCCAAAGACTTCTCCAGCCTGGAAGCTGGGACCACAGCCCCCAGAAGAGTGCTCTGGGGCTCCCCAGAAAGAAAAGAAAGGGCACCCGGGCTGGAGAAGCTGCCGGTCATCTCCTGCGACGCTTCACCCCTCGGGTGTGGGCGCCCTCCAAGCACCTGGACCCTGACTCAGCCCGCGCCCCTCGCTTCCCAGGGACAGCCCCGCCCCCGCCGTGCTGGGGGAGCGCAGGACTCCCGGTTGCCAGGCAACCACGTCAACAAGTCCGGGAGAGTCAGGGCTCAGTTGGAGGCTCAGACCCCAGACGGCGAGAAAAGTATGGAGTGTACACGGGTGGGGGACAAGAGCCGGCCCCTCGACCAATGTAGCTAAGAATGAGCTGGGGGAAGGTGACAGCCTCCGGCAGATGCCATGTTGTGTGGCCCTGCCTCTGGCCCACGGCGGGGGTCTGGAGCCTGAGGCGCTGTGGGCTTGGAAGGGAAGAGCCCTGCCGGGCGGAACCAGGTCCCCAGGGGCGTTGCCCTCTCCCGAGAGTCTTGTGCCTCTCCCCCCCCGCCCTATCCCCTCCCTGCGCTCTGCTTCCATCTAGACCCAGCAGGGCACAGGCTAGGAGGACAGGGCTCCCCTGAACACATCCAGGGGAGCAACTGTCCATGCTGCCTTCTGCTGCCCACAGACAGATGGATCTCGCGCTCTCTCTCTCTCTCTCTCTCACACACACACACACACACCCCTCCCAGAAGGACACGAGTCTTCTGCCCAGGGCAAAAAGGGAAGCCAACACACTCCCATCTCCGGCCCCTAACACTAAGACGGAGTAGAGCAGCCCCGGCCCTGGGATTCCAGTGGTGACTGACCAGCAACCACAGACATGGGGGACTGGGACACATCAAAGGTCCCAGAATTGTGGGGAAGGGTCTGCCAAGCCTAACGCGTTCTCCACCCTTGGCCAGGGCCGCAGGTCACCTCAGGGGTCTCGGCATTTTCTCAGTGGATAGAGAACCAGGCCGTGGGCAGGAAGGGAATTTCCTTTAACAGTGGATCAGAAATGTCTGGCTGACAGCAGGGGTAAGTAGGGCGTGTGCTAGGCTCCCGCAAAGGTGCTGAGGCTGGAGACGCTGGGCCTACGGGCAGCTGCGGGGAGGAATCTAGAAGGGCCAGAGCTGGGGGTGCACGGTGGGACCCGGCCAGGCCAGAGGGGCTGGTAGGTGCCCAATGGGACTCACTCTTCCCTCGGCAGGGCGCACCAAGTCGAGCCATGCAGTCGCCAGCAGGGAAGAAGGCTGGGGGCAGGGGCCCGCGGGAGCGAACCGGAAAGGGGTCCCTTGAGGAACGCGCCAAGAGGGCGCAGCCCCTCAAGCCGGGTTGGGCCCTAACGCTGGAGGGGATGGCGGCCATGAGCCCCGCGCAGCGTCACCGCCACCTGCTCTTCGGTGACCTGCTGGAGGACGTGGGCGCGGCCGCCTCCCTCTTCACGCGCGAGTCCGTGGAGCTGGGGTGCCGCATGCCCGACCCGCGCGCGTGGGCGACACAGTCCCGGGAGCCACCGGGGGCGCGCCAGGACCGGCTCCTCGGCGTTCTCAAGGCAGCCGAGGCCCGGGGACGAATCCGCGCGTTGCGGCTGCGCTACATCCGCATGCGGGTGAGGCTCGGGCCGGAAGGAAGGGGCGCGCAGGCGAGAAGGTTGGGGGGCGAGCGGGGAGGGGACACCAGCTCCGGCGCCCTGAGGAAAGGGGTGGGTGAGGACGGATCGGGAGGCGGGAGGGATCGGCGGGCGGGGGGCGCCTCGCAGGAGGGGGCGGGCTGAGCCAGCAAATCTTTGCGGAGGCTGAGAAACGCCCCGAGCCCCCGCGCCCGGCGCCCCGCAGGCCGAGGAGATCTCGCTGCTCATCCTGCAGCAGAAGTCCGCGCGCGCCGCCATCCGGCTGGAGCTGTTCCTACCGCCGCAGCTGAAGCCCACGCGGATCCCGGACCCCCTGGACCGTCACGAGGTGCCCACAAGCCCGGGAGGGGGTGGGGGCCCCGACCCCCTCCCCGCACGCCTGGCCCCAGCCACTCTCACCCACAGAGGAGGCGCGTGGAGACCATCCTGGAGGAGACAACTGACGGCAGCATCTTCCCCCGCTGACGGCGACCCGCAGTGCGCGACTGAGCCCCCCCCCCCATAAAGTTCTCATTGCCCAAGCTCCCCCAGGTCGTTATGCTCTCTCTGTCCAGGTTCCCCGGGAGGGAGGGGGGCGGGTATGGGTACTGCCTTCACTGCAGCTGATGTCACACAGAGCGGGGCCCCTCCAACAAAGTACATGGTCCCACTGGGCAGACCCTCCTAATCCCTCAAGCCCTGGGGCTGTCGCCCGGCCACCTGCGAGTCTGCGAGAGTCCCCAGTCCGAGGGCACAGGAGTAAGGATCTGACAGGGCAAGTCACACCTCCAGAAGTAAGAGCAATCTCAGGGAGAAGGTGGGAGAAATGACCCCAGATTGGAGGTCATCCCACCAGGGATCAGAGGGTGGGTAGGGTGGCCTTCCGGGCAAGGAGAGTGACCTCGCGAGCCAAAGGCAGCCTTTGGGACCAGCTGTGCCGAAGAGGTGCCCGGGGGGCACAGACGGGGGAAGGGAGACCCCCGGCGAGGTCTGCACTAACCCCCAGAAAATCGGCTCTGCGCCCTGAATGACCTCTTCGGCTCAGATCGATCCCCCTTATACACACACACATACATACAGGGACACCCGTGTCCCATTCTGACAAACCCACTTCCTGCAAACCCTCTGGACTCTGAAGAGTCTCCCAAGTTTCTGGATAGGACTCCCCTTAAAGAACTTACTCTTCTCCCGGACACAAGCCCTTTGCAGAGCCTGGAACCTGACCACCTCTCTCTTTTCTTCCCTCCTGGACCCTAGCGGGCTCCAGAGGTGGGGGCTGAAAGAATTCAGACTAGCCCCCACCCTTGCCAGGGGGCTCCCGCTGAGTGGGCCTGCAGCAAAGAACTGATACGGAGGGGTTCATGCTGTACCCACAGAGGTCAGAGCAGGGGTCCAGCAAGGACTCCTGCTCAGAGGCCATCAGTGCCCCTCCCTGACCCAGCACAGGATGGGGACCTGGCCTCATGGGGATGTGGGCCCTTTGAGCCCTCAGCAAGCCCTTGTCCCCCCGCACCTGACCCTTCACCCTTTCTGGGCTGTTGCTGCCTTTGGCCTTGATCCAAGCCCAGAACCGTGTGTGGAGCTGGCATCTGTGGCAGCCCGGGGGGGGGGGGGGGGGGCGGGGGGAGGGGTGCCGGGAGGGTGTGTGTGGCAGTTGTAAGTGGGGGCTGCTGTTTGAGGCAGAGAGGGGGACAGAGGAACAAGAAAAGAGAAGGGTTCTCAGGCTGAGGACAGAGAGACAGGGAAGGGGAGGTCTTCTCTCTGTCCAGGAGTGGCAGCCACTTACCCCCAGACACGAAGGAACAGGATGGCAGCCAGCCCCCTGTAATATGGACCTGAGCATTCTGTCCTCCGGAGATGTGCTGACCACCTAGGGTGAGTTCATCTGCTCGGTAAACACATATTTCATTTCATCACTTCTCTGAGTCTCCATTTCTTTATCTTTAAAATAGAGATCTTGAGGGTCTCGCCTGGGCAGTGAGCGGGCGCCGTGAGCGCTCCGTGTGGGTGTGGTCCCTCTGCATCAGGCAAACACGAGGACAGAGCACAAGACAGGCACACAAAGCCCCGAGGAGAAGACCAGCAAGAGGGTGGCCTCACTGGTAGCTCTGCATGGAGCTGGCATGTGGGGGGCCCTTTGATCCCTGCACCAGGGAGGGGGCCCTAGCTCTGCAGAGGAGTCCAGGGAAAGTGGCTGAGGACATTTCTGCCGGGCCCAGAAGAGGCTTCTGCTGTGGGAGAGTGCAGCATGTGGGCCAGGCCCCAATGTACTGGGGACTGTGAGGGATCAGGTTTGTCCTGGAGCTGGGATTGTGTTCATGCTCTGGACAGAGTCCTGGGTTCAGACCCCATATCCACCATTACCTGCTGTATGGCTCCGAACAAGTTCCTTCCCAGCCCATCTGTATCCCTCCCATGGAACGTGCGGGTGCTCTGTGGAGAGACAGACTCACCAGAGGAGGCGCAAGAGACCCTGAAGGGCTGGGGCGAGGGGACTGGAGTGCAGGCCCAAGTGGCCAGAGGACGTACAGTGTATGGAGGGCTGGGAGGGCAGAGAGGGCATAGAATGGCATGAGTGGGGAGAGAAGCATGCTGACCTCCACACTTGGCCAGCTGCCCCACACACTTCTCGGGAGGTGGGTGGAGATACCAAGCACTGGGGGTCGGTCTGGCTGTGTGACATTGAGCAGGTGCTGGCCTGTCCCCTCGGACCTACCTCCCAGGACTGTTACCAAGCTCCTGGCCTCTGGCCTCCCCTGGCCAGCCTGTCGGCCAGATAGCTCTGTGGTCATGCCAGCCAAGGCCTCTGGGCACACAGTATCAAGAGGCACCTCAGCCTCCAGGGCCCTTCTCCCCTCTCTGAGGTCCCACCCTCCCCTCCAGCCCAGTCCCCACTCTCCCAGGCCCTGCACGGCTGTACTGCCAACACTGCCCTTTGCTGAAGGATGCCTCCCTCTGCTCTGTGGTTCTCCTTAGCCCCCCTCACCTCTCACCCAGCCTGCCAGTCTGTTTCTTGTCTGCTCCAGGGCTGGTCTATCTGATTTACTGCTAGGGGCCACTGCGTGGCACACAGGGAGCAACCCAGATGATTGCTGAATGAAGGGCACATGTAAAATCTCCACTTCCCTGTATATCTTGAAGAAGAGCTCTGAAAAAACGTGGGCATATCGGCTTGTGCTGTTGGAGGGCATTTTGTGAGCAGGACCGGGTAGGACCAAGCTGAGTGCCTGCACTGGCGACAGGAGATGCGCCTGGTCCAAGGCCAGGGGGACACAAGACACCCTGCAGCTCATTTCCGGAGCAGAGTCGGGCCGCTCCGGCCCGGCCCAAAGCATGCCGGGGTAAGAAGTGTAACTGACAGCTGTGACAGATCATAAAATATCAGGAGAGTCAGCCAAAGAGAGGGGACAGGGCATTGGTTGCAAAAGGGAGGGTGTGGCTTTAAACTTTAGGACATCTCAGGGCAACTGGAGGGGTTGGAAAAGACTCACTCGGGCTCCACAGACAGGAACATTCGGTGCCTACAGGTGTGAGAACCCATTCCCCCAGCACCCACCAGCACCGCGGCATAGGACCCCCTTCCTTAGGAAGCCCCGCTAGAGCACTGTGCCGGCGAGCTCTTACCCGCACTTCACAGGCGGCAGCGCACAGTCGCAGGGAGGCCAGGCCTGGGCCTGGAGGAAGCACTGACCCGTCCTTTCCAGCACGGCAAGAAGCAAATAGGACCGCAGGGTCTTAAGGGCTCTTGTGCCCAGGCACTGGACCAGAGTCTCGGGGACGCCCGCAAGAGTGGCAAAGCTGGACTGGATCCCCCTGAACAGAGTGGAAGACACGACCACACCCCCATCTACTACAGTGCCAGCTCAAGCCGCCCTGGGTCCACAAGCCCCATTATTAGCACCTCATATCCACGGGCCACCCTAAGCGATGGTGGGGACCTGAGCGCCCCGCCGAATCTGCCGAGTGGTGGGGAGGGGGCGGGTGGGGAGCAAGGCCAGCCGAGCGCGGGGCGGGGCGCGCCTGGCAGGGCGGGCCGGGCGCCTCCCCGCGAGGAAGTCCCGGCCCCGCGCTTTGGGGAAGTGCAGCCGAGGCGCGTGCGCACTGCACCCTGCGCCCCCTCCCCGACTCTCCGGCCGGACCTCGGGGCGCGCGGGCCGGCGGCGGCGGCGCGAGCGGCTCGGGAGCGCGGCCGGTGAGTGCGCGCGCGCGCGGCGCCGAGGACGGCGGCCCTGCCCATCCCGGCCCGGGGCCCGGGGGCCGTCCCGGGCCGGAGCCTCAGGACCCGGCACCCCGATCCGCACCCCACGGACTCCAGCTGCTGGGTCCACGTGGACCCTGGGCCGCGGCGGGACGGGAGCCAGTCCCCCGCGCGTGGGGGAGGGGGCGCTGCAACACGGTTCCCCTTTTTCTGCAGCTCAAAGCCTGGGGAAGTGATTGCTCAAAGGGGGGGGGGCCGGAAGAACCCAGGTTTCCGCGTCTCCCGCCCCCCGCCCAGCCTGTTGGGGAGGGGCCGAGGCGGGACACCCTGTCCGCCCCCATCCCTACCCCCTTGGATCTGGCAGCCACTCACCCTGCGAGGCACAGGGGAGGCGCTGCGCCCCCGGCCCCAGCTGATCTGGGGCTCCCGGCGCCGGCCTCCCTCCAGAACGCCGCAGGAGTACCTCCTGCCGTCTGACTTGAGTCCCTGCTGCTGCAGTGCACGCCCCTTCGGCAGCCAGGGTGGGGCCCAGAGGGAACCTGGCCTCTCCCGCCCCCACCTCGCCTTTGGGTCGATGGTGAGTGGGGCGCCTTGGCGAGTTCCTTGAGGTAGGGGTGGGGGCGTCAGAGGCTGGAGGATGGGGCCCCTGAAGAAGGAGACAGCCTCCACCAGGCCAGACCTTGCCAGCAGAGAGAGGAAGAGAGAGAGAAATGGGTCGCCCCCACCTCTGCAGTGGGGACAAGGGTCACCAGGCTTAGGAAGACCTGGCTTGCCTTGGAGGAGCCAGGCAGGGGTTCCTCCACCAACTGAATGGGGGAGGGGGGCATATAGGAAAGGTGCTGAGTACCATCAGAAGCAGGGAATGGAGCCCCTTTGTCAACCCTCCTCCAAAGGTTATGGCATTTTTTTCTGGGATTGTCACATTTTCTTATTCTTTTTTTGGCCTGGGCGGGCTCAGGGACGTTCTTTTTCCTTCTGTGGAGCAGAGTAGCAGCCGCTCCCGAGGGAGCCTCTGTCCCCAGAGGCCAGGCTTGCCGACTGTCCAGCCCCTCCCATCTCAGACTTGGGGGCCAAAGCCTAAGGGGCTGGGAAATGCCAGCCAAATGCCAGGATGAGGGGCAGGAACCCTAGTTCAGGCCTTAGGTGACCTGCGGGGCAGGGGGGGGTGGGGTGGCGGGGAGAACAGGTGGCCCCAGCCAGCGTCAGGAGGGTGCAGGGAGCCAGGTCCAGGCCTGCAACTAGGACAGAAGACACTGACCCCAAAGTCAGCCTCCAGGCTTAGAGCCCCCAGCACGTGGGCCTGCACCCTCAGACAGGGCCCCTCCTCCAATTTGGAGCTAAGTTTTCGGGTGCTAGGGAGTGAAGTGGGGACAGAGCCCTGCCCCCACCCACGGTGGGTGGGGGCGCAGAGGAGGAAGAGCAGTTTTCTGCCTAGCTACTAGACCTCAGAAGTTGCCACACCCCTTCCCTTCCCGAGAAGCTTGACCCCTGAGGCAAAGGCAAGCTGTGGGGCTGCTGCTTCCCCATCTGCTTGCCGGGAGTCTGTGGGACCTTATACTTCACCCCTAGTTTTGGGTCCGGGCAGGACCTCTGCATTCCCCCACCCTGGAGGAAAGGGGCCCCTAAGTAGTGCATAACCCCGGCACTGCCACCGCTGAGCGCCGCTCACATGCGGTCCTGGCATCTCTGCTCCCAGAGCTGCTTAGCCTGGTCCTGCTCTGATGCCTGCCCTAGGGCATCCACCTTCCCCTCCTACCCTGGGGGACCCCAAGAGGCCAACATGGACCAAACAGGAGTTAAAAGGCCACAAGCTGAGGGATGGGGGCAGCAGGGAGGATGATAGTTAAATGAGAAAATAAAGTGAAAGCAAGTCACGAAGTTCCTGGCCACCAAGATAGGGGTGTGGGGGTGGGACTGGATGGCTCGGGAAGGTCCTTGTCAGCTGTGCAGGGGGGCACCCCAGGCCCTGGGGATCCTCACCTAGACCAAGAAGGACACAGGCAGGTGCAGTGGTGGGAAGGCATTCAAGACTGCCCCAGGGGCACTGATGGGCCACCCTGGCGTGGACTCTGGGATCTGTGCTTGGCCTCCCCTGGGGTGGGGGTGGGGGTATCAGACTCCTAACCTTGACTTGAGGCTTCGGTGCCCAGTGCCGCCTGCATACCTCCCCCGTGAAATATAGGTGTGGACACTGAGATGGAGGCTGGCCCTCACCCCTGCCAGGGACCCCGCATCTCTGACACCCCAGCTCCTTGCTGCCCCCCGCTCCCCTCCCCCACTGGCACACCAGGCCCAGTTGGTTTCCGCAGCCTGTTAGGGGAGGGGGAAGGGAGGCTGGGAGACCCTGGGTGTGGTAAGGTGCCAGCTAGGGTTGGGGTGCCAGGGGCAGCGCCCAGGACCAAGGAGCCACAGGTCCCCAGGAAGCTCATGGCCCTCCTCACCCGTGCTTTGCTTCAGTCCCACACCCTCAGAAAATCCCATCCCACTCAGATCCTCTGTGCTGCAGACCTAGTCAGCTGCAAACAGGTTGGAATCCTCTGGGGCCACCCGGCAAACCTGGACTTCTGGTGGGGAGCCGTCCTCCTGCAGAAAACCCAAAACGGGGGGGGCTGGGGGACAGGGTCTGAATGTCTGACCATTACCCTTATGCATTAACCTGATAGCCCCAGACTCTTAGGGGCCCCAGCCCCCTTGGGAGGGGCCGGGAGCCGGAAACCAAGAAAGAGGAACCCAGACTTCCGGCTTCCCAGGGACAGAACAGATGGGGGTGTCCCGGAACCTTCTGTGGAGATCTCGTCTGGGGCCCCCTCCTCACTGCCCCTGCCCCTGCTCACAGACCTGGTGTAGGCTGGGGCAGAGGTGGGAGGCTAAACAGAGTGGTCTGAAGTGGGCAGCAGGGGAGCAGGGCTCCTGGAAGGAGGGAGAGACTCTCGGGACCCCTTCCAGGGGACAAGTAGAGACTGCGGTCTCAGGTTCTCAGGGAGAACCCCCGCCTCTCTTCTCAGACTCTCAGGCTGTGGTGAGGGTCCCGGAGCCAGCACCACGGAGCCCGGGCGACCTCCTCCACCCACCCATGCCCACCCCGCATGAGACTGAGAAGCAGGTGCACCACCTCCACCTCTGCCTCTGCCTCCCTTGTGGGAACGGGGACGGGGGCGACCCTTGAACACCTGGGAGGCCGGGAGGGCGACCACCAAGGGAAGTCAGGGAAGAGGTGTGCGGGCCCTGGGCTCTGGCCTGGAGCTGAGGAAGCCCCCATCTCACCAGCACATAGGGCCAGAGGAGGCAGACCAGCCCCCCTCGATGTCCAGTCATGACGCGGCCCCCCCGGCTGCCCCCAGCCGCAACCCCTGCTGCTTGTGCTGGTGTTGCTGTTGCAGCTGCTCCTGGTACGTGGGGCCGGGGGTGGGGGAGGGGGGACGGGAGAGGACTGAGCAAGGAGGGCGTGCTGAGCAGACACAGGGCCCGGGGTCCTGCCCCTGGACCCTCAGATGGGTTCAGAGGGGTCACCTGAAGGCAGGACGCCTCTGCTGCCCACAACTCTCATACAGGGGTTGTTGGGCCCTGGTGACCAGTCACCAATGCTCAGACCCCTCTGTGCGTGTGACTTTCATGCCTGGTGTGTGCCTGAGGATGTGTCCTTGTGCAGGCACCTGGCCAGCCCACATGTGTATGCGCTCATTTGTCCACTTACTCAGCACATGCTTATTGAGGCTGCTGTGACCCAGATGAAGCTGGCCCTGGGGACCTACCAAAGAACAAGACAGAGCAGGTCCCACAGACTGTTAGGCGTAGGGACACTGAGCAGAGACCTGGCCCCGGAGTAACAGGGAGGAGCTTCCAGAGCAGCATGCTAGAGGGCGGCTGTGGGGCCTCCAGGTGCTAACAGGGTTCTCTAGGCATGTGGAGAAGCTGTTGGAGTTTTCATGCCTTGCAGAGGCCTGGCCCTGTTCAGGCCTCCAGCCTGTGGCTGTTGAGTGGCCAGTGCGGTGGACTCAAAGGGGGGATCTGCTGACCAGTGAGCAATTCCGCCTTGAGGCAGGAGAGGGGCGGCCTGGGGGCAGAGGTGGAAGGCCATTAAGAATTAAGACACTGAGAATTGAGCTGTGGGGGTCGAAGGGGTGTAGCAGGCAGGGGAAGGGAAGAAGGGAGGTCTGTTGGGATGTTTGGATTTGAGATGTCCGTTAGACATTTCAGCGGCCCTAGAGAGAGATCTGGCTGGAGGCGTGGATGCGGGAGCCAGCATTCACCGAGTCAAGGGAGAGACGGAGGTTCCCTGGGGAGAATCAGCAGTCACACTCTGCAGGCTGGGGCTTTCCTCCTGCATCAGCTGGGGCCTCTGGGAGAAAGGAGTGGGGGCTGAGGTCAGGCCAGGAGGGGAGGGCCACACCAGGAATCTGTGAAGTCCCAAAGGCTGCAAGACTGTCGAGGTCTTCCCAGCACCAGGGAAACTGCCTTGGCTCCGGGGGAGAGACTGAGGGGCTAAGGGCAGCAGGTGCGGACCCTCCCTGGAGGGTGTGAAAGGAGCAGACTCCAGGGCCGCCCACCTGCAGGGGGTTTACACTTCGGCCGAGAGCCCCCAGGCCACACGTTCATGTGTATCACATGTGTGTGTGTGTGTGTGCGCGCGCGCGCGCGCCAAAACCACGTAGGCCAAGGAGGCCAGCGCCACCTTTCCCTCTGCGGTTAGGAACGAAGAGCGGCGGCGAGCGTGGCGGGCCTCCCGGGAGAACAAGCTGCAGCCCCTCCCCAGCTGCGAGGAGTGGTAGGTGTGGCCAGCCGTGCGCGCGCGCGAGTCCGGGGGGCGGGGGCGCGCACCTGACCCGGCCTGGCGGGGGAATGCCCACAGCGCCACGCCAAGCCCGGAGGAGGTGCGGAGCTGGGCGCAGTCGTTCGACAAGCTGATGCACAGCCCGGCTGGCCGAAGCGTGTTCCGGGAGTTTCTGCGCACCGAGTACAGCGAGGAGAACATGCTCTTCTGGCTGGCCTGTGAGGAGCTCAAGGCCGAGGCCAACCAGCACGTGGTGGATGAGAAGGCCAGGCTCATCTATGAGGACTACGTGTCCATCTTGTCCCCCAAGGAGGTGCACCGCCTTGTGGACCAAGGGTGGGGGGCGGGGGGTGAGGGCGCCTCCTGAGCCCCTGACGGTGGCATTCTGTCCCACAGGTGAGCCTGGACTCCCGAGTGCGGGAAGGCATCAACAAGAAGATGCAGGAGCCGTCGGCGCACACATTCGACGACGCACAGCTGCAGATCTACACGCTCATGCACCGGGACTCCTACCCGCGCTTCCTCAGCTCCCCCACCTACCGTGCCCTGCTGCTCCAGGGGAGCTCCCAGTCCTCCAACGAGGCCTAGGCTGCCCGCTGCAGCGGCACAGACACGGGACCCCCCGGTGGGCACAGACTCGGTTACCTGCACAAGTGTGTGTCCGCAGAGGTCCGGCACACCAGCGGGCCCGGCATCCGAGGGCAGTCCCAGACAGGAGCCCCTCTCTACCCAGGGGACCTAGGACCCTGAGGTCCTGCTGAGAGGCAGGTGTGAGGGCCTCTTGAGACCGGGCAGACCCTCCCCAAAAAGCTCCCAGCGGGGCTCCTGCACAGGGAGAGGGAGACCTCCCAGGGGACCCGCGTCCTCACTTAGGCCTCCTCCCCCAAGCAGCTGGGGACCCTGAAAAATGCCTCTGGTGGGCAGTAGAGCCTCTGCATGCCTCGTTGTGACGGGAGGAGACCCTCTCCTTCAAGCTGTCTGCACCCAGATCAGACCCAGAACCTCAGAACTAGGCTCAAGGCAACAGGAGCCAGTTTCTTTTTTATATTTTCATTAATTTTAAACCTGGAAACATGTCATTACTGTATTTTATCAAAAAAATGAAAGAGATGTTTTCATATTTATCTCCATTCCTTCTCCATCCAAAATAGGATCTTATTATTGAAGATATTTTTAAAGCAAAAGCCTCCCCTTTCTTTCCATGTTTGGGGGTGGGAGATTAGAGAATGAATTGTCCCAAACCTAGAGCAGGGAAGGGAGTAGTCGGCTCCAGAGGAGAACTGGCCCCAGTGGGCAGCTGTGCTCAGCCCTGCCCTGGTGAGGGTGCCATGCCCCCAGGCAAGGGTGACCCCCACAGCGTCTTGCCAAAGCTAAGGTGGGACACTGATGGGGGTGGCCTCCCCTGGGCAAGGCGAGCTTGCCAACCTGTTCCCTGGTTTCTGGGAGGTAGAGCAGTTCAGAACTGCTGCAGGTCCAGGAAACTGAGACTCTGGCCCAGAGTCCACCCAATCCACTTGACCACCTGGAGCAGAGGATCATGGATGGCTTCGAGACCCAGATTTGGCCTTCTGCCCATGAGCCCTGGGCCCTGACCTACAGTGGCTGGGGAGGTTCATGAGACCCTGGATCCTCTGTGTACCTAAGGCCCCCTCTCACCTGCACACGCACATGCTATGCGTCCCCACACCTGCCCCTCATCCATGGGCATGCACAGGGAGAGTCTGCCCCCAGACAGGAATCTGGGCTCCTCCTGGAATCACCAAGCCCCTCTGAAGGAAGGCCAGCGGGCTCTTCCCTCCATCTCTGTTCCACTAGAGCCAAATCTAAGTGTCACCTGATCCCAGGGAGGAGGGCTATCCCCAGTGGTGGGGGGGCGGAGGAAGACCAGACCTGGGGGTGGGGGAAATCCAGCTCACAGCCCAAGACTGCATGGCCCACCAGAACCAAGGGCCAGGAACACCACCATGGCAAAAAGAAACATTTAATAATTTGGGGGGGAAAGGGAAGAAAGGTATACAGCAGGTGGTAGGGGGTGGGGTGGGGTGCACAGCCCTCTGAGGAAGTTCAGGTAGGCACAGGGCGGGTCTCCAGAAGCTATGTCTGTTGACAGAGGATGCAGGGAAGGCTGTGGCCAACACTGGGCACAGCCCAAGCCTTCAGACATGTCAGCGAGGGCTCAGCAGAACTGCAGCAGACGGGGAGAGGTGTCAACCACGCGGCCCCCGTGACCCCCACAGGGCAAGAGTCAGGGCTGGGGTCTCCACCCACCTTCCCTGAAGTCCCAGGAGGCTGGCTGGGCATGGCTGTTCCCCATTTCACACCACACAGATCCCACACAGGCTGGAGACACCCACATCCAGAGAAGGCTCACCCACCTACCTTCCAGCGGTTTCCACACTCATTGCAGACGACGAAGGTGGTCATGGGCTCATCAGAGCTGCGGGTCTGCACCTGTGAGGGTGGAGCCCCCCAACCCCAGGACTCAGTCACTTGAAGCAGGAGGCCCCAAGAAGCAAGTCTTCCCTTGAGTGACAACTTGGGGAGGCTACCCGTATCCTCAGGTAGCACCGGCATCGAAGCCCCCAGACCCCAGTGGGTGACCTATGCTGAGACTGCCCCAGCCAACTCCAACCCTTCTCCCCTTACCAGGGACCCCTGACATGTCCCGAGGTCCACTTCAGTGTCCGCCTCCATGGGTCTGAGCACAGTCCTGTGGCCACTGGCAGGCAGCCTACCCCGCCCACTCTCTTACCAGTTACAACACTCCTAGGGGCCCCTCTGTGCTGAGGCCAAGCCCCCCGGCTTTAGTGCCCAGAGCAAATCACTACCTGAGACACTGCTTCCTAGGGACCAGGGGTGCTGGCAAGGGAGGAGGTCCCAAAGGTGATTATCACTCCCTGGCCCAGTCAGTGCATATTCACGGTGCATGTGTCCACGCCCAAGTGTGGACTCCGCCCCAAAGAACTGGGGGCAAGTGTGGGCTCCAAGGAGGGTGAGGCGGGCACCCCTCTGTGCTGCCCTCAGCTCCCTGGGGCCCCGGGAGGATGGCTAGCCACAGCTCACCTGCGTGTAAGTACAGTTCTTCTTCCTGCACTTCCCGCAGGTAAAGAGGTCTGTCTGTGTGCCCCCCGTGCGAGCCATCTGGTGCTCTCGGATGGCCTCCTTGGTCATTGCCTTCCGGATCTCCTTCAGCTCGTCGCTGGCCATCTCCTGGGCAGGAAGCCATGTACTGACCCACTGCTCACAGGGGCAGCCCCCACACCCATCCAGCACAACTCACCTCTGACGTCATCACGGCAATCTGCTGGGGCGTTATGGCGCCACACAGCACATTCCGCCGCAGCTCGGGGTTCTTAGCGTCCTTGAGGTTGGAGATGCGGCTCCGCACGCGGTTTTTATACTTCATGTCCGTGTTCCCCACGTCCCGGAAGATACGTGCAGGTGTTTAAGGACCTATCCAGAGGCCAACGCTGCTGCCATCCACCCACCCCATGGGACCAGCCAAGGGAGGCCAGTGAGGGTGGGGGCTGGAAGGGGAAAGGGAGCCCAGCAACTCAGTGCCCACCCATACCTGGCAGTGAGTGGAGGGGCTTCTGGGCGGGGCCGCCACCAGACCCACCCATGGCTGAGGCCCAGCTCCAGGTGCAAAGCCCCAGTGACCCCCACCCCACCAGCAGGCAGAATCCCTCCCTCAGCAGGTCTGGGGAGGGCCCTCCTGGTCAAGAGGGATGAGCCCACCCAACTGACCTACCACTTGGTGAGAGCACCGGGGTGGCGGCCCCCAGGGGAAGCGGGACCTGGCTGGCCTCACAACTGGACCAGAAAGCCCCAGATCCCAAACCCCTGCACAAAGGATATATTCCTCAATCTGGGCCGACAGGCCCTCGCAGTCTGCACCAACGGCCGTATGATCATCTGCAAGAATCAGCCCTGACTAGCCGCCCCTCTGGCTCCACCACCCACACCCCCGCCTGCCCAGGACCTGAAGCCCAGGATCCAGGTGCTCTGGTGACCCCAGAGACCCCCTGCCTCCCCCCTGGGGACAGCTGCAACGGGCTAGGGAAGAGGGCTGTCCCTGAGGGTCCTCTAAACTCAGGCCTCTGTGGGCAGGCAGAGTCCAGGCCACCCCGGGAGTCCAGGGGCATGTTAGAGGAGCCAGGACCCCCAGACAGGCTGTGCAGCCCTTGCCAGGGCACTCACGGTCTGTCTGCAGGGCGGCGGTCAGCAGCTCACGACACTTGTTGCGCACTGCATCACAGGTGACTGGCACCGGGGGAAACGTGGTGATCCTCGGGGCCGATGGCATCCTGGGCAGCTCTGGCCTCTTGTGGCTGGAGAAAGACAGGCCCGCTCGGGCCACATACATCCCCATGACACGCCAGTCCCCACAAGGAAAGCCAGCAATACAGCCACAATCCCCCAAATCCCATCTGTTCCACCTTGACAGCAGCCCATGGTCCTGCCCACCTGCAGTCCAGCCCTGCATGCCGGAGGGGTGTGCTCAGTTGGTCGGAGGTGGTAAAGCCCACTGGGTGGGGTGTACTCCCCAGTGAGGGCACAATTGGGGCCGAATCACCTGTAATGGTCTCCGCCCTCCAGGAGGCCAGACACAGGGCCACACTGCTTAAGACCAGCTGCCCTTTCAGGGAGAGGCAGATGGTGTTGGTGGCTTCCCGAGACCACAGGTGGCCGTACCCAGCACAGATACCCCTTGAAACGCTGGGTATTCCCTACAAGCTACCTGATGACCAGGTTGCATCCACCGAGCCCTCACCTCACACTCCTGCATCTTGTGACCCTGTGAGCCCCAAGTTAAGTCAGTGGGAGCAGGGGCCTCCTGGAGGAAAAACAACATGTGCAGGAGCAGTAAATGAATCCATAGCCCTGCACAACTACACTGTAAATCCAGAGCTCAGCCCTTCCTGGCCCCCGGCCACTTCTGCCCAGTGGGGTCAAAGGCAAAGCGGCCTATTGGCCATAGCCCCTTTCAGAGGCCCCCCAGTCTCCATGACTGCCATCTCTGGGGTGGTGAGGCCTCAGTACCCCCAGAACTCGCATCATGCTGTAGCTTGGGGCACCCAAGGGAAAAAGAGTCCAGAAGCAGAGTGACACCAGGCTAAGGAGGGAAGGTCAGCCAAGGCTGGCCAGTGAGACCCAGACCCAGGACACAGATGTGCAGCTGGCGGCTGGGGGGGGGGGGGGAGGGGGACAGCAGAGGCTCCCACAGGCCTGTTCAGGGCGTGTAGCAGCTCCATGCAACCAGGTGGACACAGCCTCACCTCTCAGATGGTTGGGGCTAGAAAGAGAACGTCCAGAGGAGCTTTGGAAGAGAAGTGTGCAGCAAGAGGCCAACCAGGCCAGGCTCTGCTCCCTGAGGACAGTCCCTTCCAAGGAACTGGAAGGGCTGATGCCTTCATATGGCCTCAGCAGACCCAGGGCACAGGGAAGTCAGCACCCTCATCTGCCAAGCAAGGGGCACCCAGGGGGCAGGAGGGTGTGCACCTGCCTTCCAGATGCGCTACCTGGGATCCTGGGCCTTGGGAGCCTCCTTCGAGGACGATGTGGGCAGAGGCCCGCCCCTCCTCTGCTCCCTGGCTTTGGCATCAGAAGCATCTGCAGGTGCCAGGAAAGGGGAAGGCTGGCTAGGGAGAGGCAGAGCCAGAGGGCAGGTCCAGGCCAGGGAAGCGAGCAGATCCCCACCAAGGCACAGCCTTAGCCAGACCACCAGCCCTAGGCCATCTGCCCTAACCCCACCGGGGCGCCTAGCCGCTGAGACTCCCACAGCTGGGGCCCTCTCTTTCCCCTCAGAAGGTCCCAAGACAGCTCCCACCCTCCTTTCCTGCCTGCCCCGCTCAAGCAGACCACCTGTAAGGCTTCTCTGGGGTCTACCCACTGCCCATCCTGGCAGAGAGGACTGCCGTCTGCCCAAAGTATGGAGTATGGAGCTCCCCGAGTGACAGCCCCCACAGATGAAGCATGATGAGGCATGGTCATTCCTCAGTTGGGCCTTGGGGGCCACAAAGAACCGCTGCCCACTGAGCACATCCCTCATCAGGCTCCTGAAACCCTAGCCTGTGCTGGGGACCAGCCCATGGGATAAGGAGCATCCCCCACGCCACCAGAATAAACACACTCGTCCAACACGTGGGCTGATGGCCATGCAGGAATAGAGAGACCCAGGACACAAAGCTCTATTTCACAAGGGTCTGGATAGAGCCCAGGAGAGGCTGGGAAGGCGAGGGTGCAGGAGGGGCCTCAGGGCCCCAAAGTCGGCATCTCTGCAACTCCCAGCCACCCTATCCTCTCTGAGTAGTGGCTGCGCCCCCTTCTCCTCTCTCCCTTGCCCCCAGCCTCCTCCCCTCTTCCTCTCCCCCATCTCCTCCTGCTCCCTGCCCTCTCACTGCCCTGACACCGCTCTCCATGTGACCTCCCCACCTATGCCAGGTCCCTTTAGGGGCCCCCAGCCACCCTCAATGCAGTTCTGCTCCTACCTTGAACTTCTTTTTCTCCTTGCTCTACACGGAACCCCTCTCCTCCCAGCCTCAAACCTTCCTGGACCTGTTCTGTTACATCCCCACTCCCAGGTGGCCCTGGCTCAGGGACAGCACTGCCAGCACCCTACACAGTGCTGACCAGTGCTTCTCAGGGTCCCCCTGGCCCCAGCTCCCAGCCTGCTGCCTGACCCGCACCCAGGAGCTTCTTCCAGGACTTGATGAGCGACTTGGCCAGCGCGATGACCTCCTCATCAGAACTCTGCTTCCGCAGGGCGTTGACAGACATGCCGACGCGTGTAGACTGCAAGGCAAGCAGCCTGGGCTGAGGGGCAGCAGTCAGAGCCTTCTCACAGACCCTCCTAGGTTCCCACAGGGCAGAGGCTGGGACCAGCCTGTGAGGTGGACCCCCCTTCTGAGGGCTACTGTCCCCTGTGGAACCCAAGAACCTCGGCAAGAAACAGGGTGGGTTATCCTTGGGTGTCCCTTTGTCTTCCTTAGCAACAGACAAAGGCAGGGACATTCTCTTCCAGGACAGACATTTGTGCCAACCAAGGCCCAGGGCTGGGGCCAGGAAGCCCTGTCAGGAGCCCAGGAGCTGTCCCGGGCAGGAGGCACACAGGGCCCTACCTGCAGCAGGTGCAGCGTGACGGGCATGGCCTTCAGCTCCCGCAGCAGGTCCATGGCTCCCTCCTGGAAGGAGAAGGGGGACCTTCATAAATGACTTCGACGTCTTGGTGGACGATCCCACCTCCTCTTACACACGAGGAGGGGCCACAAAGAGTGACCCACCTGCAGTTAGATGCCCAGGCCGGGTGAGGATGAGAAGGAAAGTGTCTTTGCAAACTCAATCCCAGCATTCTGGGTCACTGACCAAACCATGGCTACGGGAAACACCTTCAAGGACCGCAGCCCCTCTCCAGCAGCAGAGCCACACCAGGTGAAGGTGGAGGTCCCTTGCCCAGGTGGACTGGGCATCTCTCCCTAAGGTGGCCCACCTGCCTGCTCAGAGGGGTCAACCCAAGCAAGGTCAGAGTCCCCTGCTGAGTCCAAACGCTCTACTCCCGTCACAGCCACCCCATACCCAGGTTCAAGTCCCACACCCTCACCCTTCATCAATTCCTCCAGGCCTTGCCTGCACCCTCAGGCCAGCCACCTTTCCCACCTTGCCCCCTCCCACCCTACAGCTTTGTTTCTTCAAGGCCCTCTCCCACACCAGTGCCATGCACAAACGGGCCGCTCTCTCCACTCCAGGCTCAGCTTCATGTTCCTCAAGTGTGCCAAGTTGCTTGCCCCAGGACCTTTGCACTTCCTGCCTCCACTGCCATGGAAATACCCCCAAACATCTACAGGTTTATGCTCTCCCTCCTCCCAAAGTTTGTTCAGATGACACCTTCTTGGCAAGACCTCTCCTACTTAAAACAAACCACCACAACCCATGCAGCACCCCCATCTTCCTCTCTTCCTGCTTTCCTCACTTCCACAGATGCTTCACTTCTTAACACACTCATGTTTTAATGTGTGGGTCTCTCCCTTGACATGAAGGGGACGGGAAGTAACCTGACCCAGCCACCCAAGGTTGTGAGAGCCTCATGTCTTACAGCACAGGCTGCGGGAAGGGCTGGCCTTGCTCCTAGCCGCCCCTGCCCCCCCCCCCACCGCCCACAATCTAGGTGGCATCTCTGCTCCGCAGTCCCCTCCACGTCACCCCCAGCAGGTTCTGCGCCTCAGGCCGCGCAGAGTCCAGCCCTGAGGTGACCTCCTCAGGGAAGAAAGCTGGTTGTCAGACCCAAGGACGCAGTGCTTCTCACTGATCATTTTCCCGGAGACGGAGCCTTGGGCTGCGTAAAGTCAGTTTTTCGTGGGCTCCAGACCAGAGGCATAAACACAATTCCCAACTTCCCAGTCCAAATCCCCAAAAGGGCCTCACAGGCACTAGAGCCTCTGCTAGATCGCTGCCCACGCCACAGCACCCCCAAACCCCTTAGGTGCCTTCCCAGTCCAGAGGGTGGCCGACTCCCCCTCCTCAATCTCCCCTGGAGCGTCTATTCGTGCTGTGGCTATGCTCCCGGCCTGGATACACCCTCCCCGCAGCTCCATCTGGCCCTACCCAGTTCCATAACCCATCTCTGCCCCCGCCTGCGGCGTGTTGTCTCCTCCAAGAGAGGAAGCAGCTTCTTTCTCTGGTCATCTCTGGACACAGCGACAGATAGTTCCCGCACCCTGGCTCTGCGCTGCCCACGGCCTCCCAGGGGTATGAACACAATGTGTGTGTGTGGAGGGGCTGCTGCTCGCCGGCTGGATGAATGACCGGGACCCAGCCACCTCTCTGGCCCCAGTGCAGACCCCTGTCCAGAACCTGGTCAACAGGGGCCCAGGACGAGCCTGTTTAATCCAAAAAGCCACCCAAAGCCCCAGCCCTGGGGTGGGTGCGCAGGCATCTCTCAGGCCCATGACTGAACCTCCTCCACCGCCCTACCTAGTTGCTCACAGTCTGCAGGGGAGAACAGGTTGTGTTTATTGAGCCTCTCAGGGAGCCAGCCCAGACCCCTACCAACATCCTGAAGGCAGGTGCCGCCCACTAAGGGTGCTTCCATGTGAGGGTACGCAGGTTGCCAAATCTCGGAGAGGGGCTGAAACTGGAGTCCCATCTACCTGCTTCCTGCTGGGAGACAATGGCACAGCCTCCTACAAAGGCTCACTGGCCGTGGGACAACGAGGCCAGGAGCACAGTGGGCACAGCTGGCCAGGGGCTCCAGCTCCGAAGCGCTCCCAGGCCAGGCTCACCAGACCTCCCAAGGGTCTTAAGCGAGGGTCTCCACATATCCACCCACTGCCCAGTTGCTGCTGACTGAGTCCTGGCTAAGGAAGGGAAAATATTTATTAGGGAAACCTGCTTCTTGTAGGGCAGGGGCAGATACTGGGGGGGGAAGGGACCACTCCACCAGGAAAGGCCTCTGGCCTGCGGTGAAGGGGGATGAGGGCCACAACCCCAGCCCAACAGGTAAGGGAAGCGCTGTAGCTCCAGGAGGAAAGGGGGTCCAATCTCACACTCCAAACTCTTGCAGGCTGAAAAAGGATGTGAGAGACCTAGGGTGGGGCAGAGGGCTTTGAGTCGGGATTGGGGGTCTGTGGAGAGTCCTGGGGGTGAGGGAGAAGCTGTGAGGATGCCCGGGCTGAGAAGGAGGAAGGCAAGGGGGGCGGGGCGGCCAATAAGAAAGGTCTGAACTGGCGGGGGAGTCCGCAAGGCCTGAGGGGCGGGACCGAGGAATGTTTCCGCTTGCCCGGCTCCGGTAGGGGTGGGGGTGGGGGAGTCCGGAGTTACGGGGCAAGTGAGGAGACGGATCTCAGGTCTGCGGGATCTCAGCCTGGTGGCTGGGGTCTGAGTCCAGAGAGGGCGGCTCCAGGGACAATGTCCAGGCCCGACTGCGGCCTCTGCCGTGGGTGCGGGAGTGAAGGGCAGGGCTGGCCCAGGGCAGGGGTCTCGGCCACCGACGGGGATCTCCCCGCGTCCCGGGAGTCTCTGCTGGGGCGGGGTCTCGTCCTGCCCCTCGGGTGGTCTCCCCGACCCTGAAGGGGGCTCGGCAGGCTCGGCAGGGGTCGGCGGGGCGGGGGTCCCGGGGTCCTGGCGGCCCGCGCCCCTCACCGCACTCTTCTTGGTCACCATCTTGTCCAGCCTCCGGGCGATCCGCGCAATCTCCTCTTCTTTGCCCATCATCGATAGGGGGGCAGGGCCCCCAGCGCCCGCCGCGCCAGCCTCAGCCTCCGGGCCTGGACCCCCGCCCCGGCCGTCGCCGCCTCCCGCACCCGTCGCAGCCGACGCAGCCCTGCCGCGGGCGGGAGACCCTCCGTTCAAACCCCCGGCCCCCGCGGGCGCCGCGCTGCGTCCTGGAACATGTAGTTCCCGCGGCCGCCCGCCTCGCGCGCACTGACGCAGCGCTGGACTACAAGTCCCAGAAGCCATGCGTATTTGCATGGCTTCCTGGGGAGTGTAGTCCTGAAGGGGGCCGTCGCTGGTAGACGACAGGTCCGGATGACTCACAGTCCCACAAGGCCCCGCGTGAGGCGGTTAGCCGGCGGAGGGCGCTGTGGCAGCGCGAGCCAGAACGTGCGTGCCGGCCCCTGCGCGACCCCGAGGAAGGCCCTCCCCGGGCCTCCGCCTGTTAACTGTCCTGGGGCCGGATACGTAGGACCCACAAAGGCACCTTGGGGTTCGTCCCCTATTTCCATCCGCTTTGAACCCTCCTCTTCCACCTTCCGCTCTCCCGGGACAGCCAGACGCGGCGGGAGACCTCCCGACCTCACCCCACCCCCATGCCTGCGCGGACACCCTGCGCGCTCCGGCCTGGATTCTGCTCCCGAGCCTTGGTGCGCGGCGCCTGGAGGTGGGAGGGAGCAGTCGCCGGATTCAGGGTTTGGAAGAAGCCAGGGCTGGGGTTCGGAACGTGCCACGGGACTTGGAGAGGCCGCGTGGGCAAGGCGCCTGCCTCCGGAGTCAGCTACCGGCTGTGAACCCCGGGCTCTGCACTTCAAACCAGTCATGGGCCGCTGTGTGCCTCAGTCTTGCCATCTATGAAAAGAAGATGGTAGCGTCTGCCTTAAAGGGCTGTTCTCAGGATGGTGTGAGTTGATACACATGCGTTGACTACAACAGGTCAAGGGACACAGCGTGAGCGATTCAGTGGTCACCTTTGCTGCTGGAGGTCCCTGGGAGTGGCCACGCCGTACTCAGTTGGAGGGATGGCCCTGGAAGGGAGAGGGCTGGGGAGGAGCAGAGGGGCAGAGCTAGCATCCCCGCCAAATATCTTTCCCTTCCTCAGTGATGCAGATGCTGGATGGTTTGCTGGACAGGGCACAGCGCTGGGGAGAGGGTACAAGCCAGAGAAATGATGTCCATAGTGTTGTGGGCCCCACAGTCACTGAATTTCAGGCCAAGTAACTGAGACCAGGTGTCTGAGTGGCTCAGTCGGTTAACCTTATGACTCCTGATTTCCACTTGGGTCGTGGTCTCACTGTTAGATCAAGCCCTGTGTCTGGCTCCGTGGTGAGCGTGGCGCCTGCTTGGGATTCTCAGTCTCTCCCTCCCTCTCTGCCCTTCCCCTGCTCATTTGCGTGTGCTCTATCTCCCTTTCTCAAAAAGATAAACGTAAAAAAAAAAAAGTGGGACCTAGGGAGCTGGTTAAGAATGAAGACCCTTGCTTCTTGTAACCCAAGGGTGTGGCTCTGAGGTCTTTGTCCTCTGTCCACAGGGGCAGAAGTACAGGACTGTGGCCAGCCAGGGTGGACACTGAGCGGTGGGCACCCAGAGGAGGGCAGGGGCTCAGGAGCCGGGGGGGGGCTGTGTTCCAGGTGTGCAGATGGTGACCCATGACTGGGAGGTGGATGGCGGTCTGGAGTTTGCACCCAGCGCCTGTGACCTTATCCGCACTGGGAAGAACAGCGGCGGTCGCAGGGGGTGGGGACACAGGGCAGGTCTGGGCATTGGAGGGGACACCTGGTGGGGTGGGAGGAAGAACAGGACAAGGCCTCGGCCTGGGGCTCAGGGACCAACACCCTGTTCAGAAAGAAGCCAGGCGCGAAGGGTCTTCGTGTCCCTCCCGCTGTCCTCTGGTGGAGGCACACTGTCCCTTTGGTCCCAGGTGCAGCAGTGGCCCGCGTGTCACAGCAGTGCCAGGACTGGCCAGGGCACAGACTGGAGCCACTTCCCTCCACGGCCGTCCTCCCAGTGCCCCAGCGATAAAGAAGAAAATAAAGGTTTCGTATCAGGTTTTAGGAAACATCTTGGTAACTGTGCTTCACTGTAATTGACTTCCTTTTAATTCTATGAATTTTACTTTCTGCTCGGGGCCTGTCACGTGGCACCAGAGTAAGGCCGTGGAGCAAGGTTGTTGTCGGCTGAGAACTAGGGCCCTTCCCCTAAGCAACCATAGTGGAAATTCCGGACCTCCTGCCTTGGACCCTTTCTCTTCCATGCGGAACCAGGTGGTCTCCAGCAGAGGCTGGGCTGCAGGGCTGCATTAGGGTTGCCCGGGGGGCCCTGGCTCCGGGCAGGGCAGGTGCTGGGGAGGACCGAACAGGTGGGGCTGGGTGGCCCAGGAGGCAGGGTGCTTCCAAGCTGGAGACCTGGAGGCCACAGCCCCTCCCCTGTGACAGGAGCCCTGAGCCGTGGTGCAGTCCAGGGTATGACCCCATGCTGCACAGGTGCTCAGGGACCAAGTAGGGTGATCCTGCCCCGTGGCCTCTGTGGCCCATGATGAATGAGCAGTGGCCTCTAGGTGGCGGGAGGGAGCCACAGACCAGCAGGCCAGCCAGCTCGCCGCCACCCAGCCCCTCAGGAGATCCAGTCAATTCTGGCCATAACCAGGAAGCATCCAGAGTGGGGCTGTGCTTGGTCATGGAGGGAGACCCTCACCCGTGGGGGCCATAGGTGGGTCCCACCCTCTCTAGGACAGCACCCACCAACCCCGAAATTCTCAGTATTGCACTTCAGACATCCCTGGTCATGGGGCCCCTCATGAGTTCATAACCTTTGGAACCTCGCTCAGGATGTTCACAGCCCACCACAGACCCCATGTGGACCCTCTCCTAGCTTGAGAACTTCCTCTCCCAACAAGCTGCCTGAGCCCCCGAGGCCATCCAGCACCCTCAGAAAACTGGTCACAGAGGGTGGCGTCACAACCAGGGGATGCTCCTCCTGGCGGGGGGGGGGGGGGGGGGAGATTTATGTGAACCTCCCTGTACCCCCTACCCCCTGCTAGGGGACTCACCAGGGCTGGGGCCTTCCAAACCTTACCATGACCCCTCTGCAAACAAAGCACTTCATTTCCTGTGGACACCCACACCCAGCAGGGGAGACAGCTGCTCACACGTGCACACACTGGCCACACCTGTGGCTCAGACACCTTGGACTGTCCATAAGGTGTCTCTCTCCCAAGGACCGTCAGGCCGGGAAAACAAGGCCTTCGTTCCACCCTTCAGCCCCAGACACCTAATAGTTGCTCAGTAAATACGTGTCTCGTGAAGGAAGGAAAATACAATAGCCCTCGGGGTGGGCAGGAAGAGACCCACACTTACTAGCCACCACCCAGCAAGGGAGTCCCAAAGACAGGCCCCACCCCCACCCCCAGGGAGGGCCAGCTCAGGACTGACCTCTCCTGCTGCTTTGGGCTGAAGGCCTGACCCATGGATCCTAGAACCAGGTGACGCCCTCCCCTCCAGGACTCCCAGCCTCTTCTAAGATGGACTGAAGTGGGGGGGGGGGGGGCGAAGGAGTGCAGGGGCAGAGAGTTGAGAGCTGAGTCAAGGCAGTGGGTGGAGGTCCAGCAGCTCCCAATCGGAAGTCAGAGGTGACGACGAATCCCCCACGGGATGGAAGACTTAACCTTCCCAGACCCACCCTGCCTGCCTGACTCCAGAATGCCCTCCTGGACACTCCATAGTCCTCCTGGAAGTAGGGGTCCCCACGATGGCGCCACGGGGCAGCCCCCAGAGAAGAGAGACGCGTGGGCCTGCCCTCGGGAGCCCTCCTCTGTGTGCAGCCTGGCCCTGCCCTGGGGGCTCGGGGAGGCACAACCCTGATGGGGACCTGGGGACACCCCAGCAACACCCACAGGGTCCACTACACACAGGCTGGACCACACCTTTGGCCCAGAAGCCTGCCCCTTCCCCATCCTCAGTCCGGAAACATCGGAAGCTCAGGCCATTTATTTTTCTATTTGTGTCCCCTGCCCCCTGCCCGCCCAGAGCCGGCCATGACCCAAGCAGGTCGCATCCGTGCTTCCTTTCTGGCTGAGGCAAGAGCCTCGGTGGGAAGGCCCAAGCCGCCAAACTCACATTGAGCCCCACCTCTTGCTTCCCATGGCCAC